TCATTTCATTAATTTACTAAAAGTGTTCAACGCAATTCATTTTGTTAATTTAATAAAAGTGTTTAATGAAAATAATTTTTATATTTAATAAAAATGTTCAATGCAAATTGAAGAGAAAAATAATTGGAGTAAAATTTATTTTCTTATCGCTCCCGATTCCCGGAATTTAGGATTACCGTGAGCGCCTGGTGGGGGAAGAGAAATACAGTCCCATTCTCAGAATCGGCTGCCCCTACAGCCCCGTGAGTGCGACTATAACGAGAGTCTACTGTAATACCAATTCCCAGACGAGAAATCGTGAGAAGCAGTACAGAAAAATTTCTTTTTCTGCCCATTTTATGTCGACCGAACAAGTGCCGAACGCGAGACCATCATTTTCTACCCGAATTACTGTCTAAATGGAGGTCAGACATAAGTATCGACATTTTGCAAGACTTTTTGATATTTACTTGGTCTGGTGGGTCTCTAAGAAATCATTAGCAACAGGAGAGAATTTTGTAATGGTCCGTTTAGAAATGCAGCCAATCTTCTGGAGGCGAAGCCATCAATTTTTACCCGCATTATTGCAAAAAACTGGACTCTGGTGTAGACATTTCCCATGTTAATGTACTACTGGAACAGTCACACCTCCGTTTTCAGACATTCCCCTTCTTCTCCCGAATGAAAGGTTTCGTAAAAAAAAATTAGGCCACCGGATGTTAAAACGAATTCATCCTCCATCCCAAGGTCTAACACGAAAATTGAATTGCATTGCTTTTTCCAATTACCCAAACAGCATAAAATATTATTTCGTAATACTCACGTCCTTCTCGAAGTGCATGATGATGAATTCATTGAAGAAGGTAAGGTAGTAACCAAAATGGAAGCCATGCCAGACAGCAATAAATAGAAGGGTAAAGAATTGACTTGCATTGCGTGAACCGAGATATTTGAGGCGTTTATATATATACTCGGCGAACCACTGATTTGAGTTCATGTTGAAGGACTGTATGTAGTGGTTGAATGTTGTGGCATTTTCAAACGTAAACAGATCAACATTGGCGCAACCGTCCCACTTGGATTGGCCATTTTCGTCGCGACCGTTGTAGGACAGCGCAAATGTTGTGCACACCTGTGAATTCATCACCCTTTTTTCATATAAACGAAATTGCCAATGGAAGGTATTTTTATTTCTAATCGTAAAATATCTTCCCACATTACTCTGAATGCATTGATTATCAGAACTTACCCCTTCCGTCAATAGCCAGCAACCAATATATTTATACAGACATACTCGAGCCCACAGGCCAAGCAAAAATACTTTCTTGAAAAAATTTGAATTTCCGAAGTCGTCACTCAACAGGAATTCATCAGATACATAAATTGCCCCAACGAGATAAATCAAGAGGTATATGAATGCTAAAGCAGTTCGTTTTATCGCAGGTACTATATTATCTGGTAATGCTTCAGGTTCCGTCGATTTCTGAAAACAAAATATTTTGCCATCACCCAAGTTACTTTCATCAGTCAATTTATCCCGGAAATTCATGTAGTGCTCTTTTGAAAAATGAATGTAAACTTTTTTGTCAGCAATCTATTCTGCCATGCTTGACTTGGGATTATTTCTATCGAAAAAAAATGTGGGCGTCCACATGAAAAGGGCCCACTTTGACGGTATTGGAGTTATGTATGTTCCGATAATCTTGATCAGATTTCTCACATTTTGAGCCCAAAATCAACCCGATAGAATGAAAACTGACGTCAGTATAGACGATCAAAAAAACAATTTAACATTGGTTTAAATGGGAGATGTGGAGAGAAAAACGTGAATATCTCGGAAACTAGATGCGACAAAGTGGGCCCTTTTCACGTGGACGTACACAAATATATATAAGTATGAGAAAATCTTACATATTTATTTTCATCACGCTGTGACGAACAGTGAACTTTTCGGCACGCTTCGCGTGCCTAAAAGTCAAATTTCCGCCACATTGTGATGAAAAATATTGTTCGTAACTCGTGAAAAAATGTTTTTTAGCTTGTGGGATTATATCACTTACCTTTGGCTCGTGATATAAACCTCCTACTCGCCAAAAAACACTTTTTCATCACGCTGTGACGAAAAGTGAACTTTTCGGCACGCTCCGCGTGCCTAAAAGTCCAATTTCCGCCACATTGTGATGAAAAATATTGTTCGTAACTCGTGAAAAAATGTTTTTTAGCTCGTGGGATTATATCACGAGCCGAAGGCTCGTGATATAAACCTCCTACTCGCCAAAAATCACTTTTTTGCACTCGTTTCGAAATATACTATTTTGTTTGTGATGTTACGTTCAGCGAGTGCCGAACTGTGCCATTTTTCGTTTACTAGTAAACGAAAAGGCACTTTTCGACACCGGCTGAACGTAGCAGCAGTAACAAAATAGTATATTTCGTTACGAGTGCGGAAAAGAGTTTTTTGGCTCTATTCTGATTCAAAATTGATTAAAATCAGTTTTCACTGGTCAATTTCTTATTCTATCCTAATTTGAATTTCCACTCGGGCATGGAAATAGTATATTTCGTAACGAGTGCAAAAAAGTGTTTTTTGGCGAGTGGGAGGTTTATATCACGAGCCGAAGGCGAGTGATATAATCCCACGAGCTANAATGTGACGGAAATTGGCCTTTTAGGCACGCGGAGCGTGCCGAAAAGTTCACTTTTCGTCACAGCGTGATGAAAAAAATGGTATGTGATAATTAGTATGGACAAAATGAGCACTGTTAATAGGCACCCAAAAGATTTAAATAAAACTTAAGTAAAACATCCAAAGACATACTGTACATAAAAATCTGAATAAACGAGTTTACAAAACGTAACCGGAGTTAGTTGATTTCGAGAATTGATTGTCGAAATTTTACGCAGACGGCAGACGAAGTTCTTGTGAAAGGCATTGGAAGGTTTAGACGGTTTATTTTAGAAATCCATAATTTTTGAAAAATGACTGCAAATGTAGTGAGTTAAAATGAAATAAATTCAGCTGTTTTATCTTTTAAAAAGTATCTTCACATTCATCAAATTATTACGATTGCCTATTTATTCACATCTACCGTAACATTTCCCTATCTCTCATCAGAATCATTACTTGCATAACTTCCATGAAACAATTACAAAACAAATGAAATGAATTTGCTCGCATTCGTTTTCATATTGTTTTATTCCGTGATTATTGTGGGATTTGACTGCGGAAATAGTGTTAGAAAAAAAAACTGATGTAAATACTTACGCTTTCTATCAACTCCCCGTTGACGTAATCGAGGTACCGTCTCATGCTAAATTGCGGCCCGACGAGAAATGCCCCTGGAAAATACGTGAATCCAGCGCACTCCAGGAAGGATGGCAATTGCTTTAAGGAGACATTTTTTTGGTAACCCGAGAGATATTTCTCGTCTCTATTGCCGTCGTAGTAGTTCCAACTTAGACCGATCAGACGGAGGGTTAATACGCAATGGGGCATTGTCCATTTAATGTCGTAAACTTCGGTACTTGTTGTCCAGTAGCCTGCAATTGACCAAGAAATGAGTCGAACGAGAAAAAATAAAGTCACGGATTAAAGGAAAAGAGACAAAAATATCGGGAGATTATTCTTGGGGAGAAAATGGCACTCCAATTCAATTTATTCTTACCATATAATAAATGTGACATATTGAATATAAACGTAACAGCAACAGCTAACTTTGAACTTCCAAGGACTAGTAAAATCAGGTACGTTGTGCATAGAGAAATTGCAGAGTGGCTCATGTCCCAACCTGACGAGTAAAAAAATCATTCACTTTCAAAAAATCGTTGATTGAGTGCAACGATTTTTGAAGCCTCTATTCTTCTTATCAAGTAATGTAATATGATGTCTATGTATACTTTTTTATGTACTGTAATTTTTTATTCATAGTAATTGTAAAAGAAAGACAAAATCATTTCTTACTGTAATAAAAAAATATAGTTCTGTGAAAAATATGTATACAATTGTATATATGTATATATTACATAATATATACTGTATATATTAAATAATACATCCTTAAAAATGAAAAAGAACGTGAAAAGCAAAAAACAATCGAAGAAGATGACGATTCCGAATAAATTATTCAACGATTAAATTCTCATTGTGAAAAACTTTGTTGAAACCATTCATTTTTTCTGCATTATTATTGAGATAAAAATTAGTGAAAGTGAGAAACGGTAAGGCTTTACAATTCTGGCACCTAGCAGAATAAGATGCGCGCCCTGGGGTAGTTGTATAAAAAATATCATTCGTGTAGGAGCAATTGATGAAGTTGAATATCTACGTGATTGTCGAATTATCTCACCAAAATTCCAGATCCCCAGAAAAACACCACTGAGGATAAAAAAAACATGTTGATGGAGGGGGGTCTTGCCGTACAGAGTGCGACGATGTAAGTAAGCCAGTGGAAAGCCTAGAATTCAGATAAAATCATGTGATAAGTACTATCTCAGCGTTTCTCAAATAATCGAAGTATTCTCAACTGAACAATTTCATAAAGACCAATTCATTCAAAAAAAGAAAAATTAAAAATAATTTTTTTGCATTAAAAAAATTCAACATGAGAGCATGATCGGCATCAATGATTACTTTAGTAATATTATGAGAAGTTGCACTTTACAGTAATTTAGACTTATTTATCGTAATTGAAATTTGAAAAATAATATAATAATTGGTAATTTAATTTCTCAATTATTGGTTCATAAAATAATTCGGAATGGAATATTTAAGTTGATGATTGATAAAATAACTCGGGATTTGAAAATTTAAATTGATGATTATTTTTAAAATAAAAAAACTGGTGAGTAACATTAACAATTGATTTATTCCAATTTAACTTTAATTCAAAATTTCGATTATACCGACGTCCGCATGAGAGAAAATCGCTGAGGAAGTAAAAAAAATAATGAAAAATTGCATCTGCTTCTATTCCCCTCCAAATGACTGAAATTGCCGTAATAAAATGAGCGCAATTTCCGCAATTTGCAATGATTTAATAAATTTCAAAAATTTTGATCGTGAAAAATTTCCAAAAAATTTACCCAGTGAAATTGAAATAATGAGTCTCAGGGCGGGTTCCGAGGCCCCCATAGCGCGTGCTAGTTGAGCGACACCACCGCCCGCCTGAGTTTCCGCATTCATGGCTATTTCCTCAGGTGTTAATCCTCAGCTGTTCAATGTCACTCACTGAAATCTCCCCGACACCCAAAATTACCCAATAATCAATGATTATAAGTGTCTCGAATTCAACGACCACGTTTTGACTCCAGGTTTTATGTGAATATTTTGTCTAATGTTCATTTGATTAGGTATTAACTACAATAACGTCACCTGGTATGACTCGGATGCTGGTTTACGCGGATCAGCATGGCTCAGCTTTATTCTGTACTGCGCATCGCAGGAGCAATTTTCCGCATTGGTTTTTTACGATGATATTGGCAGGGGGTGGGGAGACATCGCGATAATTTTGAATTTAAATGGTAGATGGCGGGAAAGCAAATTTCTGAGAAAACGATGAATATTGATTTATCATCAGTCGATGAAAGTTCTTTGAGACTGTTCTTTACCGACCAATGGAAAATCAGCACTTTAACGGGCAATTTTTGGACTTCCCCATTTTTTTTACTTTATAATTTCGACCAGAAGTGACATGCAGGTGCAGTTATGGATAACTAAACATTCGCTCAATTCCGTTTCTCCTAGACGAGAACAAATGATTTTGCTGATACGAGTCACTGGAACAGGCGCGTGTAACCCATTTCTTTATTATTATATTTTTATTTGCAAAAAGGATACATTGTCCCATCGCAAGGGAGAAACACAGTACAACATTTGATAATTAGAATAATCTGATAGTTCTATTCTAGCACTTATATGATGATATAATACATCTGTGTAATTTTATTGCGGAAAACGTGAATTTTTCCCCGTATTTCTGTGAAAATTCCTGTGAAAATTTACCGACGATCCTCAAGCACCATCGAGAACTTTCGGTTGAGCGGCCAGGAGATCGCGAAACCCCCGAAAAGTAGTTGAAATCTAGCTATTGAGAAGATCGCACGGGCATTTAATTGTAGCATTTCGTTCAGCACATCACCACAGTTATGAGTTAAATTTCGATTATTAGCAGTGATTCAACCTTATTAAAATTGCAGACAATTAGCAATGATTTTAAGACACTCAACAGTGAAATTTAATACCAAAGAGTGTACACGGAGAAAAAAATACATCGTAATTTTGTGAGAATCCTTCCAAAAATTAGTGTGCTGTTCACCAACGCTGGGACATAACAGGGAGTCATCGGAGAATTCGCATGTGGCACACTAATTTTTACGGGAATCCCCCGAAAAAGTGGCCGGAGTCCCACCAAAAATTAGGGTGCCACTTATGAATTTTTCGACGACCCCATGTTATGTCCCGGCGTTGGGGGACAGCACACTAATTTTTGGGAGATTTTTTTCTCAGTGTACAAAGAATTTGTTTAGCGACGTGGTTGGATCCCACAATCAAATGGCTGGAGATGCACTTGGAGGTGAGTCTTCCACACTCCAACGGTCTCACAATTTTATAATTTCGTCATTAGGCCGAAATATACTAATGACCAATCGTTCGAACAGGACTGGCAGAGTGGACGGTCCCTAACGCCGGAATGTTCCTTTGGATCAAGCTCAAAACAGGTCACAATGCCCTCAACTTATTAACGGACAAGTTGCCATTTCACATTGTGTCATATTGCGGTTGACTTTAAAAGAATGTCTACGCGAAGGCAAGTGCTCATTATCTGAGGCGTACGTAACCGACAATTACTCATACAAAAAAGATAATAATGACTGATAATCCACAATTACCGTACATTTTTACAGCCGATCGGAACGAAAAAAACTGTTATAGTTGGAAAATATTCATATACTGTGCTCATCCTTGACAATGAAGCGCCACATAATTTTCTTGGTGCTATGTGTCATAATGGGGTTCATAGAAGAAGCCAGGGCAGGTATGAAACTTTGACATGTGAAGTTGTTCATTTTTATTGAAAAAAATTATTGAAGAGCACGCAAGGATAAATAAATAAAAGTTTATGTCGCGCCGTGCAATAAGTCGAGTTTATCGCACGCTGCGCTTCGCGCAGCCTGCTCAATACTCGACTTCTGCACGACTTGACATAAAATATTATAAAGCACTCGGTAATAAATTTCGTTTTCAACGAATGTGTGTACAGACCTCGTCTTCGGCTCGGCCTGTAAACTACACATTCGTTGAAAACGAAATTTGTGCCCTTGTACTCTAATGTACTATTATTAAATTGAAAATGAGTCGGGAAGAAATACTAAAAGAAGACGCTAACTTCAGAGCAGAGATTTGGAGAAAAGAAAAATGTGGGCGTCCACATGAAAAGGGCCCACTTTGGCGGTATTGGAGTTATGCATGTTCCAGTAAGCTTGGTCAGACTCCTCACATTTTGAGCCCAAAATCAAGTCGATAGCGTAAAAACTGACGTCGGTATAGAGGATCAAAAAATCGATTGAACATTGGTTTAAATAAGAGGTGTGAAGAGAAAAACATGAATATCTCGGAAAGTAGATGCGACAAAGTGGGCCCTTTTCACGTGGACGTGCACAAATGTATAAACAGTAGAATGTAATTGGGGAAATTAGAGATTCGTTACAATATTTTTTTTAAAAGGTCAATTGAAAGAGACAACTGCTACAAATCTCATCTTCAACTCAGGTTGTTCGAAGGATGCAGACTGCAAGAATCATAAATGCCGAAACGGGTTCACTCCGATCTGCACTGGCACTTACTCTGGTTGCGGTTGTAAATCTACCAAATTTAGAAATCGTTCTGGCATGACGAACAAGGGAAAGTAATTTGGTGGACGCAAGCAGGCATACATTCATTTAATGCGTTAACCATTGGAAGTGCAGAATGTATAATTGAAGCTAGAATAAAACAAGCGATTGGTTGCATATCAAGATGCAAAATTCACGGAGAGAAACATTCAATAAAAATTACGTATCTTTTCCGTAATTCCGGAGTGAAATGTGGCTGTAGGAAATTTTACGGAATTGTCATGGAATTTTTCCAGAGCGTTCCGTAATTTTTTTCTGAATCTCATGTGAAAAATTACGATACCGTCACTTAAATTTTCTGAGTCGATTCCGTAATCGGTGAGCAAATTGTGAGTTCCGTAATTTTTACTGAATATTTCTCTCCGTGAAGAAAAAGTCAAATTCAAAATGTCAGTCAGTCGTGTGACCTCAATCCTTTCATGGAAATATTTGTTCCTCCACTTCATAACATCAAAAACTAATGATGTGAGTGTTGAGTAATGATTGTACCAAATCATAAAATTTTCGAATAATTATCTCGTCATTCGAAAATATTGCAAATATTCGAGACCTCCTTTGTCTTCAAGTGGGACTTGTCCCGTCAAGATAAAAAAAAGGTTTATTATTTAACATGGAGTTCACCATAACTTACCCCCCCCCCTTACCTACTCTATTCTATGCATGAGAGGATAAGATGTGGACTGTATAAATACCGGATAGTTTACCGCAAACTACTGCAGTTTCCACCAATTCTTGAATCTCAGCAGATCATTCTTTCACTTTTTGATAATGAAGATATACATCGTTTTCTTGCTAATATGCGCTGTAATGGGCTTCATGGCAGAAGGTAAAATATACTAAGTTTTTTCCATTCAAAAATTTCATAAGAGAAAAAAGTAACTTTTCCCTTTTCCGCACATTGTCATGAAATAGTACATTACATGCCCGAGCCTTGGAAAACAGATCACCGTCCCCCACGTACAAGATAGCCTACCGAGCCGAAAGCGAGGCGGAGGAGACGAGGGGTGGGCGTGGTGAGGTGGCGTGATGGGGGTTAAACTAACTACTCTTGGGGGCGAACCAATGAGATCAAGGGAAACCCAGTGATCGCATTGGTTGACCCCTATCATTGGTTCGCTCCCAGTGATTTCATTGGCTAGCCCCCAAGAGTAGTTAGTTTAGGGCCCATTTGGTGGCTCTCACATCTATGTTGCAATCGCGAATAGATAACTATATAAACATTCCGGCTGTAAGGTAGCGCTTCACGCTTCCTACTACCTGCGCACTCGTGAAAATTCAGATCCAATCAATTAGCCCCTCATGTATAGATATTCCAAATTTTTATTTTTTTCCTCATTGAAGTAGTTTTGAAGAAAATTGCGAGCTAATAAAAAACATTTGCTAGTTAGTACTTTTTTTAAAATAAATTTTTGGAAAATCACCTCTGAAAAAAAGGCGTTAGCCAAAAAAAACATTCATATCTTGTCTGACATCTCTGCTACAAACTCTGGTCATCAACTCTGATTTTCAGTTGAAATTGGAATTGTCAATTTACACAATAATAGGAGTGCATTGACGATTTTTTCTTAACTCGCAAAAATCTTCAAACAATTTGCTACCGATTGGTGATAAAATTTTTTGGAAATAATGAAATAGGGGGGATAACGCCTTTTTTTTCAGGGGTGATTTTTCAAAAATTTATTTCAAAAAAAGTACTAACTATCAAATGTTTTTTATTAGCTCGCAATTTTCTTCAAAACTACTTCAATGAGGAAAAAAATAAAAATTTTGAATATCTGTACATGAGGGGCTAATTGATCGGATGTGAAAATTCCGTTTCGCTCGTCTTAAGTATATCCCAAAATCAACGAATTTTAGCTTTTATCCTTAAATAAAAATGTTGAAATACTTTTTATTTACAGATTTTCAATGGTCCAATTTATTCAGCAAGTTTGCTAGGAGAACTTCGACATCAAGGGTTAAGCAACGTCCCAGGCAGCCAAAATCCGCTCTACTGACGTTCTACCGTCGACAGGGACCGATGGGTTGCTGTCGTGCCACCGTCGACAGCAACAGCATCGAAAGATCGGCAGTACATCGTCAGTAGTAAGAGGATTAATTATAAGGGTCGGGGGTTTATGGGGCGCAGTAATACACGTAAAGGATAGTACCTCTATTCTACATGCAAAAGGCGTATGCGGGTTCCAGGTAGAACCCTTTGCCAATGATACACTTTTTTATTTTTCCTCATAATCATCCCATCGACAGTGTTGGCTGACTGGGGTCTTTCGAACGAGATTCTGCAAATAATTACTTTTTTTCGTGAGAAGGCCCGGTAAAAAAAAATATTAAGGCCAATCGCACTCATTTTCCCTTATTTGTATCAAATAAATTTGCAATTTCATGCAACAATATTTATGTTATATGGCTTCCTCAATAATCCTGCTGTGAAAATGGACGTTGAAATATAGATGCGTTATTTTTTTTTCTCAAAAATTTTGGGTGAATTATTTCATCTCAAGAGCTATCAAATGCATAGACCTAAAATTTGATATAGGAATGTTCCTTGACAGTCCTAACTAGAAACCAAAGTTTTAAAATGCTTCCCTGACTTTTACCCATGTCATAGTGCGCAAAAGTGAACTCCGAGCAAAAAATACAAAAACGACGATATCTCGGAAAATTTCAATGGCATGGTACCCATATTTTATTGGATCTAGATAAATGGCATGAAAACGCACATTTGGAAAGAAAAGAAAATGAAATCGGACAAATAGTTTTTGAGATATTGACCACAAGATTTCGTTTATTCAGCATCCCAAACTTTTTTACCATGAAACCTAAAATCATACTAAGTTTCAAGTTTCTATCTCGATTATTTTTCAAGTTTTCGTGCGAACAAGCAATTTCAAGGAAAAAATGAAAAAACGAGAATAAAACTACATTGCTCAGGGAGTAATGGTATTTTTTCAATCCAATTAAATGGGTATCATTGTGACCAGTATTTTGAAAAAAGAATCCAATCGGTCCAGGTGATATCGGCAAAAAACTATTATCGAAGAATCGCTATATCTCAGGAACCACTTAACCGATCGAGCTGAAATTTAGCATAAATTTGAGTCTCAGTAGTACCAATTAGCAGCCAGAGTTTCAGCGTGTTTCCCTCAATAATTCTCGAGTTATGGGGACAGTTCTGAACATACAGACATTTCGTTAAAAATTTAAAAAAACAGAAAGTGAATTGATATTATATCATATTAATAATAAATTGTAATAATAAATTACGTAATAATAAATTGAAGTGATTCACCCTGTGAGCAGAATGATTTTTTTTCAAATTTATTGTTTCAATTCATCATTTAAATCGACTATAACTCTGATAACATTGAACCATTTTTCCAAGTTTTTCCATTTACTATTTAAATTTTCACAAAAAAATTGCTTTACCCAAACATATAGTTATCAACAATCGATAGAAATGTTTTCATACTTTAGGATGGTACATATTAGAGTGATCTAACTTATCGATGTTCCATTCACGGCAAAAAAATTATCAAGTTTTTACTACACAAGATCTATGCGCGTGCTGATCTATTCATTTGTTGAAATGAAGAAATGGAATTCATTAAATTTCATTTTCTCATGAATACCTTATAAATATTGATAATGAATCAAAGAGAATTCGACTAATGATTGAAGTGAATAGCGAAGTAGAGTAAAAGAATCTATAAAGAATTTTTCATTTTCAATTAATTATCTTCAATTTTTTTAAATAATCGGTCTCCATAAAAGGACAGAATTTATTAATTTCACCGATGATATATATACATGTGAAATATATATATTATATATATATATATGACGTGAAAAAAAAATTTACCACTGAAGAATTTGAAAATGCCGCGTGTTTTTTTTGTGAATAACTTCGTGTCACATATTGACCAATCAGAATTAAGGATTAGCGGTCAGGCAGTTTCGAGATATTTCGATATAAAACAACTTCACGTTTCTTTCATCTTTAGTAAAATAGGAAACGATAAAATAACGGAGACTCTTATAAACAGATGAAAAATTTGCCATAAACAGAGATTTCGTCAGTTGCATAAAGTCGACCTCCCACGACCGATAACGTATCAGGTTGAGGAGAAAAATGAGAGCACGAATGATTTAGAAAGTTCAATCACCGCGTTTGCTCCGGATGAAACAAGTTCCGAACGCTCTTAAAAAAACTTCAATTTCTTTTGCCCATTTTTTTGTAATCCAGCGAGTACCCGTGCGGTGTCAGACACACGCATCAAGTAACAATCGATAGCTCGGTATATGCACCCGCAGTTTCGTCTAGTGCATTGACACCGCGTGTCTCATTAATTTCTGCCAGAAATTTTGATGTTATTTTTACTGAAAAAGAGAGAATGATTGTTCTGAAAATTTGGAGGGCTTGTGCATCGCAGTCATCCCGAAAAATTCACACAACAACATCTCAGTGAGTATGAACACGTGCTATTCAGCTAACCAACGCAGAATTTCAACGCGCATGGGCGGAAGCGATCACTTCGCGCAGAAACTTCACTTTTTTTGAATTGCATTGATAATTCGATCTAATGAACAAGACAATTTCCGTTGGGAAACTCAATGACAAGATATAGACGTGCAAAAAATGATTTTTGCTTCCGAATGGAAAGTTTGTAATCGTTCAAATTCAAGTTTTGGATTTTTTGTGTTATAATATCGACCCAGTATGACTCAAAAAGTCTCGTCCTTACGTGTGTATGTGTGTACGTATGTAGCAAAGCTTTTCTTCAATTGTTCGCTAATGAATGGATGGAATTGAATCTTTTTTTAAAATGTAGGTACTGTCGAGCCCTGTCGATCACCATTAATTGAAATTTAATTCATCGACAATTTTTTTATTTTAGATTTTTTTTAGAAAATCGGTTATCCCACGATAATTCAAGACAATGTTCTAAACTGATTGAATGATGGCTTAAAAACTTCTTTGGGAGTCCGTTTGACCGAGTTCGAAGATGAAGGCATAGCAATAATCGTTATTGTGATTCATTTGAAAATTTGGAAAAATTTCGTATTTTTTGAAAATCAGAATTCCGGGGGTATCGTTGAATATCATGCTTTAAATCAATTCAATCATAGCTTAAAATGTTTGTTTTAATACCATTCAGTTGACGTTAAAAGATGATTGCGATAGCTATGTTGGTTGATTTGATTTTTGTGATGATTGTTGAACTTTCGAATTTTTCATGAATTTCCCTAAAAGTGCATTGTCTGATGAATTCTTCAAATGCGATGTTTCAAATTCATTCAAGTATGTATAAATAAAATTTTTCTATTCTCATTTTATCGCAAGGAACTGTAAAAACACAATCGGTTGTAGGGGAGGTTGGGGGTAAAACGGACACTTGACTTTTTTTCTAATGTTAATGTCGGGTTGAAATGTTGATAAAATTTAATAATTTTTTTCATTGCAAAGAACAATTTTTTCCGTTTGTGATGAGCCTAAGCTGAGCTCAATTGATAAATTTGTTTCTGAGTTATGAGTAATAAAAACAAAAGTTTAAAGTGTCCATTTTACCCCACTCTCCCCTATAGAAGAAGGGGATAATAAGAGAAATGATGATGGTAGCATTCAATTAAGTTGAAAATCTGACAAAATTAGTTGAAAAGAAATTTTATTCAACTTAAGAAGATGAAATAAACAATGAATTATACATGATAAAAGAAAATTATGTGCAAAATAACCATTTGGAAGCATATTCCTAATTTATGAGCAAAAATAACTACACTAGATGCCATAAATAAGCAATTTCCCACTTGTTCTCTCTTAATTTAAGGGGAAAACTGTGTCTGACATTTAAAAATGCTGGTTGTTCATCAGATGCGAGGCGGTGGTCATCAGCGGCAAACAAATAGCAAAGGATATAAAGGATGAATTGAAGACAATCGTCGACTCCTGGGTGGCGTCAGGACGCAAAATCCCCCGACTCTCCGCGATACTCGTGGGCAATGACCCGGCGAGTGAAGTTTACATCGGGCGAAAAGTGAAAGCGGCAAATTCTATTGGAATTCGCGCTGAGACAATTCTTCTGAATGCCGATATCAAGGAGGAGGAGTTGATACGAAAGATAAAAAGTCTCAATGAGGATCCGGATGTCGATGGGGTTCTCGTCCAACTGCCACTGCCCGGGGGATTGAACGAGAAAATCGCCTGCGAAACGGTTTGTCCGAGCAAAGATGTGGATGGATTTCATTCCGAGAATTTGGGACTTTTGAGCACTGATAGCGAGGGATTTGTGCCCGCTACGGCTCTAGCTGTCAGGGAACTGATACTGAGGTCAGGGGTGAAAACCTTGGGACGTAATGCCGTTGTCATTGGACGCTCTAAGCACGTGGGACTGCCCACGGCACTTTTGCTTCATGCTAATGGAAAAGGTTTTAATTAGTCACTTAATTTTTGTTTTTTATTTGTTTATCTGACAACTTGGGTTTTTGGAGATTAATTTTCAGAAAATTCAATACAAATACGATGAAATTTGCAGGTAGAAATCCGGTAAAACGTTTGAAGTCGATTTTGACTATTGGTCAGTTTTCAATGAATATCTCGAAATCTGAGGCAGACAGCAAAATTTTTATTGAAACCTTGTTTGAGATTGATGCTAAAAATTTAGGCGGGTTGGGGAAAAGTGATTCGGAAAAGGTGTGAAAATTAAGAACACGCGATTTATTAAAAAACCACTGGTGATTTACTTTATTTGTAGTGTAAACCATGCGTCTAGAAATTTTATAAGGGTACACTGTTCGTTGAATTGTCTCAATTTAAATTCGATAATTGTCTCTACACTGCACTTGATAATTCACTTGATTATAGTCCCAAAGTGAATTGATAATTGACTCGAAATTAATAGATGATTGACTCGAATAGAGACGCTACTAGGAGCGTTAACTCAGTATCTCACGGTGATGTACTCGATAGAGCGATTGCGACAATACTCGACTGTACAGAGATAGAGACGATACGATACTGTGGTTAGAGTGACTCTCTCGGTGTCTAGAACGATACTACTACTGACTTTTTCGGCGATTTTCTTCGTAGCTGACCGTGACCCGAAGGGTCCCGAAGTTTCTCGAGATTTTCGTTGAGCCCGGTGACCGTTTGACTAGTTTGAATAGCTGAGTTTCAAACAAACCTTTTTTGTAGGGCGAATTGAGCGCTACGAAAAAGGTCATTATGGTAAATATATTAATAGATGATTGACTCTAATAGAGACGCGACTAGGAGCGTTAACTCAGTATCTCACGGTGATGTACTCGATAGAGCGATTGCGACAATACTCGACTGTACAGAGATAGAGACGATACGATACTGTGGTTAGAGTGACTCTCTCGGTGTCTAGAACGATACTACTGACTTTTTCGGCGATTTTCTTCGTAGCTGACCGTGACCCGAAGGGTCCCGAAGTTTCTCGAGATTTTCGTTGAGCCCGGTGACCGTTTGACTAGTTTGAATAGCTGAGTTTCAAACGAACCTTTTTTGTAGGGCGAATTGAGCGCTATGAAAAAGGTAATTATGGAAATTTCGCCGTCTTTCTTAGATTCGGAGATATTCCCCAAAAACGAAGCTGAGAGCCAAGTCGACTTGAGTCGTTTTACCGCTTCGCTACTGAATTGCGTCGTATAAAAATTTTTAGGTGACACTAGAGCTCTTGACATGACGACAACAATTTGTCACATTCACACACCTCGAGCTGAGCTGATAAAATTTGCTAGCTTAGCGGATGTATTGGTGTCAGCAACAGGCGTCCCCGGCCTCGTCACCAAGGAGATGGTGAAGCCAGGAGCTTGCGTCATTGACGTGGGAATTACTAGGGTGAATACTCCGGATGGGAAGACGAAAATCGTTGGAGATGTTGATTACGAGGAAGTGAGGAAAATCGCTGGGTTCATCACACCCGTCCCCGGGGGTGTGGGACCCATGACTGTTGCCATGTTAATGAAGAATACTCTGTGGGCTGCGGAGAAGAATCTTAAGAATAAAAAATAATTTTTCACAGCTGTATTTTTCTTTCTGAAAATGAATTTATTTGCAGAAAATCTTCTGAAATTTGTCCTTCATTAAATAATAAGGGCCCGTTTTTGTCGGAATTTTTCTAAAAAAAACTACATTTTTGCGTAAAAAAATAATAGTTTCCTTTTAATTTCTGTGCTGTTGGGGGGAGTGACCAATCAGCTGTCATGTCTCTGTTGTATATCCACTATTTTCCTAGAATAAGTTTCCTAAAAGTGCCATTCTTCTCCAAGCGTCCACCAAATATTTCCAAGACCTTTGTTCCGAATATTCCGAAGACCTTTTGTTAATAACTTTATTACATTTTATTACTTCAATCCTCCAGACGCCGCGACCCCGACAAATCGTTTTATCATCCTTTTCTTATCTCTCTGTACCCCAACTTGATCATAATTATTCCAACAGTACAGAGTAACATCTATTCAGGGAGATATCCAAAGTATTCAAACAGTACTTGTATTTTAGTCTATAAATAAAAATTTCGTGTTTAAGTTGAAGTTATTATTTTCTTCAATCAGGAATCCAACATATCACGGTAGAACATCTGCTTCGATTCGTAAGTAATTCATAAACAAATAACAACACCAAAACGGTCAAAAACTTATTGTAGATATACATTTTAAAAATTTTTTTTTTCAACAAACTTTTTTGTCTGGATATTTGGAATTCGCCTTCCAGTTTATTTGAGTACACAGAGCACGGAGGGTGTCCGTTTATGTACGTAGAGGTTAGGGGCCTGATAAAAGATAAAAAATGTGGGGTTTTTACTAGAGCTCATCACCATGTTGCTCAACACAGTCCGACACTTGTCTTTGAAATCTCGAGTTTTTCACACTGTCGAGGGCTCATGGACTAAATCGCATTTGTTTAAAGGGATTCTTAAGGTGTTCCATTCAACAATGGAAAGACCGAAGATACTGATAACTCGTAGCGATGTACCACAGGCTGGGATCGATCTTTTGAGCAAGACGTGAGTGAGAAAAGTATTTTTTTTATCAAAGAAATCAGTAGCGAAGTGGTAGAACGGTGCAAGTTAATTTTCACTGTTGGCCAGTTTTCACAGAATATCTCGAAATCTAATGGAGATGGCAAAATTTTTGTTATAAACTTTTTTGTAGAGCCAATTGAGAGCTACAACAAAGGTAATTACGGAAATTTCGCTATCTCCCTTAGATTCGGAAATATTCCTCAAAAACTCAACTGGGAGATAAGTCGACTTAAGGCCCTGTGTACTATCTATCGAACGTCATCTCGATGTTTTTTTTTCATCTTTCGTCATTTGAAATTGTCAATTGAGTCCTGCATCATGCAGAAGTTTTCAAAAATTATGAATGAATAATCAAAAAAAAGTAGAAGAAATTCTTAATTTTCTTAATTTTTATGCTCTTAGCAGTTTAGGCTCATTACAAAGGGAAAGAAATGTTCTTTGCATTGAAAAAAAACTATTGAATTTCATCAACATTTCAAGCTGTTATTAATATTTGAAAAAAAGTCAAAAGTGTCCATTTTACCCCAACCTCCCCTACAGTATATTTAAAGGGTGAGTGGAAAGGAAAGGAGGGGGTGGTTGTCTTGATATTAACTACTTCAGCCACCGTCGTCCATTATATTACATTGAATTTACCATTTTTTACAGGTGTGACGTCAAAATATGGGACAAAACAGAGCCGATCCCAAGAGCAGACCTCCTCTCGATGATTCGTGGGGTCGATGGAGTGTTTTGTCTCTTAACTGACAAAATTGATGAGGAAATTCTCTCAGCGGCTGGGCCACAGCTGAAGGCAGTGGCAACCATGTCCGTGGGGTACGATCACTTGGACTTGAAAGCCCTGAAGGCCCACAACATCCGAGTGGGCTACACCCCAGGAGTTCTGACTGATGCGACATCGGAATTAGCTGTCGCCTTGCTATTGGCCACTTCCCGGAGGATCTGCGAGTCTGCACAGGCCTTGAGAGCGTGAGAAACTTCTCTTCAAATCATAATTGACCTTTCTCTCTTCTCAATTGTTAATGTTGGCGGAGAGTGAGGCAAAATGAAACAGCCGGAAAACAACTGTTTGACGCAATTCAAATAGAACATCTACAACCCGACAAAATTACAAACATTTCATCAAGATAAAATCATTCATTTTCAATATAATCAGCAACATACAAACGTCATTTTCGTACGAATATAAATCAACTCATCGCATGAAACATCTAAAACAAAACAAGATTAGCCACATTTCGAACAAAATTATCACTTGTAATACCACAAGAGCTTCAAAATTATCGGGTATTTTCCGATAGGTTCGTTGCAAACAAATGAAGGAGTCAAGTGTCTCAGGTTAAAAAATCACGAGTGCGAAGCACGAGTGATTTTTCCTGAAAAACTTGACGATTTCGTTTGTATGCAGGGAACCTTGAGGAAAATGCCCGATTAATTTTGAAGCTCGTGTGGTATTCAGGGGATTATTTTTCCAATCCAAATGTCGAGCAATATAATTGGACCATGAGACGAAACTCACAATTGAGAAACGAAAATTGTATAATTAACTCAACAGCATTCAATGTGTGTGTCAGCACTCAATGTGTAGTTTCTCTCATCACAAAAACTGTTAAATTGATTCCAAATTGTCTTCTTCGTTTTCTCCGTATTGACGGGAATATTCCCCTTTACTTTTTCATCAATGGTTTTTAGGGAATGAACTCCGAATCTACTCATTTCGAATAAAAATCCTCGGATTACCACAATTGAATGCAATCTGTCAGTTTGACGAGGCGTTAATTCGACTGCATGATGTTTTGTTTTTTATATAGCAACTACCAGAGAAAATTATCAAAAAATTATCAGTTGAAAACCCTGTAGCTTGTACCACGTGATGTCAAATGGGCCAATTATATTGCCCGATATTTGGGTTGGAAAAATAATCAATTGAAGTCACGAATTAAAAAAAAACAATTTTTATCATTAATTTTTTCATTTTCCTCCTAGGAGAAAAAAAATCAATTCCCATTTTCTGAAGAAAAACTTCAAACAAAATTCCACATGAAAAAAATTGGTACGGAAAATTAATCTCAGTGAGAATAATCATCCGAGAATGGATTGACGGGGAAAAATTTCCGGGATTTTCGGAATTTTTCAACGGGGGAAAAAAACCCGGCCGAAAATTCTACAAAAGAGAAATTCCTCGGGGAAAAAATTCCGGGAATTTGTGAAAGGGGAAAAAAACTGCGGCCACTGTTTTATTTTCCCCACTCTCTCCTACCTAATTGCGTAATTTTCAGGGGAAAATGGACCTCCTGGTCTCCCTCCTTCATGTGTGGTCCAGGTCTCGCGAATTCGACAGTTGGAATAGTCGGTCTAGGGAGAATTGGATTCAGAGTCGCTGAATATCTGAAATCATTTCGACTATCTCGAATTCTCTACACTAGCAGAACTGAAAAGCCAGAGGCTATGGTGTTCGGTGGTCAACATAGGGCTCTGGACACCCTGTTAGCTGAAAGTGACTTTGTGATTGCAACGATTGCTCTGACTTCAGAAACCAGGGAGATGTTCAATAAAAGTGCCTTCAGCAAAATGAAGAAGACTGCGATTTTTATTAATGTCAGTAGAGGGGAAATTGTGGATCAGCCAGCGTTAATAGATGCCCTGAAGAATGGGACAATCAGAGCTGCTGGACTTGATGTCATGACCCCTGAACCCATTCCACTGGATCACGAGCTGTTGAAGCTTGATAATTGTGGTAAAATAATTATATTCATTGAAAATACATTGACAAATCACTGAAAATACGGGGTGTCCCAAATTGAAAGTCACAGTAAAATATCTTGGCAAGAGATAGGGTGACCAGGCCGAAATTCGACTTTCGTGATAGGATCTAAAATAAAAGAATCACCTAAACGGGGATGTGATGGCTTCCATACCTTCAAGAATGTTTTAATTAGCAGTTTTTTTCTGTTTGAAGTGAAAATAACAAAACAAAGACTAATTAAATTGAGAAAATGTTGAATGTAGCCGAAGCCCCCAATTTCTGGACGACTGGCTCATATTTTTTTTATTCATTAAATGTTGATCAATAGAAGAAAATAACTGATCACATGATTATACACAAGGGATATTATGGAGAGGTGAAATAATTAATAAAATTTTCATTTTATTTGTGGAATATTCATATATATTCATATACGGACATCTATGGAATTTTTATACGCAATTCGTGTATAAAATTTCTATACGATTTTTTCATACGTGTACCACTTGCCAATAAGATATTTAACTGTGACTTTTAATTTGGGACACCTTGTATATTCTGGATAATTAATATAATAGATTTTGTAGCAATCAACAATTTTATTAAAATATTTTTTTCAGTACTGGTACCTCATATCGGAAGTGCAGCACTCGAAGCCAGAGAAAAAATGTCGATAATAACTGCTGAGAATATTCTGGCTGTTCTCGAGGGAAAACCGGAGAAAATGCCAGCCCCTCTGCAGCTTTAGTGTCCTTTTTATGAAATGATGATAAAAAATCATTCCTGAAATACTAAAACGCATTGTATTGTCCCTCCACTACTTTTGTGAGTCTTTTGTAAAAGAATATTATTTAATTATATACATGAATGAATTTAATAATTAATTGGGAAAATTTCCGCATTATTTATTCCAACTTTACACAATGTGTGACGTCACTAAAAACTGGTGTCAATGGTGTCTTCAAGGAACTTCCGCAGTGAGTAGATGGGAGTAAAAGAAAATGGACTGCAGAGCTGAAATTTTGAGAATATATTCTTTCAGTGATTACAAATATCCTCCCGAAGTCCCAAAACGCTGAACCACGTAGATTGTTGAGAAGAAAATATGAAAAATATGTCATCAATACAGTCTTATGACACCGCACGTATGAAAAAATTCAATTGAAAACCTAGCGAATGCATTAGAAAATTCTATTGGATTTCTATTGAACTTTCTATTAGTTTTTGGCCGATTTTATAGACATGTTTAATAGAAAATATTTAATGGAAAAAGTCAACAGAATTCGATTTTTCTATATAACTTACTCCATTGAGATATTTTCTGTAAAATTCGCTCGACTCAAACTTTCCAAGTTTTTTTGTATGATTTTCTTGATAAGAAGAGAAGAAAAATAGGACGAAAAAAACTTAGAAAATTTGAGCCGAGGAAATTCTATAGAAAATATCTCAAGAGAATAAGTTATGTAGAAAAATCGAATTCTATTGACTTTTTCTGTTGAATATTTTCTATTAAACATGTCAAAACTAATAGAAAATTCGATAAAAATCCAATAGAATTTTTTAACGAAATCGTTAGGTTTTTCTATTGAATTTGTTCGAGCGTGTAAAACTTTAGGTCAACTGAATGAAACTATTCGTGTACTATTTCAAAGGGTATTTGTTGCTATAGATCGCAAAAATCAAGGGAATTAGAATTTAAAAAATGACGACGCATATCGATTTCACTAGTTATTAAAGAAAGAAGAGGTTCCAAACCGTTCTTGAGATGTTAGAAATGAAATTCAAGCACCCCCAACACCCCCTTCCCGACCGATCTCAACATAAGGGCGAGTTTCCACCGTTTGAACCCCTGAAATTGTCTGCAAATCCCCCAACAAGAATTTTAAGGTTAAATCGACTCGCCCGTTTGTTATTTATCCAGTCCACGCACAATTGTGTTCCCATTATCCCCCGACAAATGATGTTTTAGTGGACAATAGACGTTGAAAAGATACTCTGAGGGCTGGGAAAGCCTTCCGAGGGGCTCTGAGGTGTGAAAATCACTGGGGGAATTTTATTTCGTGGATCTCTGAGGTGTCTCGGGAGTATGACAAGTGGTGAGTGGGTTTGGGGTTATTAGCGGTGGATTTTTCGGTGTCTTCGGGGTGTTCTGAGGAGTTGAGGTGTCTCTGGAGATCATGGAGCAGCAGGGGAGTCTGCAGGAGGGTGTCGTGAAGGATGTTAGGACGCTTTTGTGGGGAAATTGCCCGAAGGACGATGTTTTCCAGAGATGGGCGCAAGGTGAGAGCCTCGGGGTTGGGGTCTGGGCGGATTCTCCTGGTGGTCGTGGGGGGGAATGTTTTTTCAATTTTTTTTGGGCAATTTTTTAATTTTTTCGAAGGGGTTTCAAGAGATCCTCAGGATTTTAGAAAATGTTGGGGTTTTTTGAGAAAAGGGTAGGGGATCCGGAGATTATCTGGGGAACGAGTGGGTCCAGAAGGAAATTTCATAAGATATTTTTCATTGGAAATTAAATTCCCTACAAAAAAGGTTCTATCACATTTTCTTCTAAATCCAGTCGTTGGCGAGATATTCGCAAAAATAAACATTGCGATAAAACGAAAAATCAAATTCTTATTAAAAAATTATTTACTTTGTTTATTTAGTGGAAAATATTGTCTAAAAACTCATCATTGAAAAGGCAATAAATTATGGAGAATTCAAGATTTAGGGGGGATATCAGAGAATAAACAATTTCACTTCATGATTAATTAATGAGAATGACACATTCGACAATTTTCTTTTGCTAAGAACGATGAATTAATGAATGAAAAATAATACTGGACCGTGAATATCGTCGAATGCTGAATTGCATAGATTTATTAAATTAATAAATTAATCAATACGCGATAATTATACATATAGTACATAAAAAATAGGGAAGGGAGCCTTCGTAATTGATAATTACCGTTAAGTAAATGATTAATTATCCACTGAGTTATTTAAATAAATGAAACATGCTATTTCATGTTTTCAACCAGTGTCCAATCCTAGAATTCAATATTTTAATTCTCCTCGCAGTTTATTTATTCAATTCTCATGTACATTACCTTTATTTTCATATTATTCGAGCTATTGATTAATTAATTAACTTTTTGGGTTCATTATTTGAACATTCAGTAGTTAGAAGGTCTATTTCACATTCAGAGACTGAAATACAAAATTTCTCTCGCATTTTATTAATTGTTTTTGGAATTGTCATGATGAGAAAATTGTTAAATTAGGTTAATATTACTGAAGATGCATTTATGGATTATTCACCTTGAAATGAGGGGTTTTACATTTTTTGTTCAGTGACTCAATTAAAAAATTCTAAAATTGATTGAATTCGATGAAAAATCGACATTTCATTTTTATTTTGATGTTCAAAGGATCAATTCATATATTTGGAATGGAAATAAAGGAAGCAGACCAAAATTATTGCCTGGAGAAAATTTTTGACATTCTAGGGAAAAATAATGTCTTCTTTTTTCACTCAACAATGGGAGTGTTCTCTTAAAAACGTTAGAAAACTATTAAGAAAAGACATTAGATTCAATATTAATGATTTTTAATTGTTCATTGATGGACTAGGCTTTCAATTCTCGCAAGACGAGCCAACAGCCCTCGTCCAGGTGGAGGGAGGCCCCTGTGCAGTAATAGCACCTGTTCAAGCCTTCATCCTCAAGGATCTGCTGCTGGAGGGGCCTCCGGACACCTGGAAGAACGTGACCACTGAGAAACAGGATCGTTTACTCGTCAGAGCTGCCATCGAGATAATCGCTCAGGCAGCAGACCCAATACATCCAACTTACTCTTTGATTCATCTTGACACTGACAGCAGTGGAGATAATCCAATGGCTAATGGAGAAGTATCGACTGAGGAGGCACAGCCCTTGTTTACTTCAGATTATTTTCACTCCAGGCTCAGGTAAAACCCAGGAATATCAAATCTCTCTGTATTATAAAAATCCAAATCGACTTCTGGTGATGCAAATTTGGTACTCGAGAGTAAGTCTCCGAAATTAAGGGTCACAAAGGTCATGAGGGTCAGAATAAGGGTGATGAGGGTCAAAATCAGGGCCATGAGAGTCAGAATAAGGGTCACAAGAGTCAAAATAAGGATAACGAGGGTCAGAATAAGGGTCACGAGGGTCTGAATAAGGGTCCACATATGGGCCACAAGACTCACATTAAGGGTCGCAAGATGTAAGGTCACAAGGGACAGATTAAGGGTCTACATAAGTATCACAAAGATCAGATTAAGGGTCACAACGGTCAAAGTAAGGGTCGCACTAGGAGGCATAGGGTCAAAAATTAAGGGCCAGAAACTAAGGGTCACCAGGGTTAAAATCAGATTCACGAGGGTTATAATGAGGGTTAGATTAAGGATCCAAATTAGGGTCACAAGGGTCAAATTAAGGATCACAAAGGTCAGATTAAGGGTCCAAAGAAGGATCATGGGGGTCATCGACTTTTGGTGATGAAATTTTGGTGCTCGAAATTAAGACTCCGATATTAAGGGTCAAATAAGGGTCACGAGGGTCAAAATAAGGATCATGGGGGTCACATAGGGGTTGGCGAGCGGAGCGAGCAGAGGACGTAGCCCCCTAGTAAATGTCTAAAATCGTCTCCAATAATTACTGTGATTAAACAAACAAAAATTTTTTTCAGAATTTTTAAAATGAAGATTCAGTGATTAACTCAATTCACTTCATTTCTTAAACATTGTCATAATTTCAAGTATTTTTGTAGATTTTTTAACCCGTTTGTTAATTAATTGATGACTTTTCTGGTTTATCTCCAGACGAAAATTAAAATCTTTGGATTCAAACCTTGAAAAAAAAATTAATTTCCATAAATTTTAAAAACTAACGATTCATCAGATTGAAATGAGGGAATTTTTTTATTAATTAACCATTTTGTTGGATTTTTTTTCAGAATATTTTCAACAATTTCCCTCGACGAAGTTGAAAAATACCTAGCCCAGAGGATAGAATCCCTCAAGGAGCCATTCGGTGTGCTACTCCTGCTTTATACAGTCGTTTGTACCAAAGGAATCAACGGAATGAGAAGTGAAATGTCAGATCCCACTGAACCAGTGATAGATTCGATTTATGGGTATGGGAGTCAGAGTCTCATTAATCTGATGCTCACGGGGAGAGCTGTCAGTCACGTCTGGGATCATGATCAAGATATTGGTGGATTACGTGAGTTAAAATAAACAATAATAAAACATTGTAAGATAGTCTTTATAAAAAATGTTCGAAAATTCTGAAATTTAAAATTCAAAGTTCATTACATTATTTCAAATATGGAATTTATCTTAAAAATTGGAATTATTATGAACTGAAAAAATATAAATATAAATATAAATTTCTAAAAAAAAAATATATATTCACAATAAACAAAATTAATGACAACTATTCGAATTTTCATTTTAAAAATCACTTTTATTCCCACAACAATATTGAAATGATGTTGAGGAATTGTCAAAGTCATTAATGATTTATCAATTGATCCAAGTTTTTTCGATTTTGTACAGAATTACGAGGAATTGACAAGCAAAATACTGTTGGTTTTCTGGCACTGCTGGAGCACCTGCGTTACTGCGAAGTTGGAGCATTCCTCAAGTCCCCATCGCACCCTGTCTGGGTGCTGGGGTCAGAGACACATCTCACAGTCCTCTTTTCAACAGATCGAAGACTGGTGACTCCAGAGACACCAGCGGAATATGCCCGAAGAGTCTTCAAAAAATACGACCCCGAGGGCAACAATTTCATACCTGCTAATCTCCTCCAGGACGTTCTCGCTGACCTGGAACTTGTTGCTGATGATGAATAGTGAGTTTTAGTGATATAAAATTATCAACGACAATTAATAATGAATTTTATTGTGATTAAAAGGAATTGATAGTAAAAAAAAACATATTGAAAAAAATTATGCACTCATTTCGTGAATACCTTGAAAATGGCCGGGTTCAGAAAGAAATGTCATAAACATTATTTGTGGGAAATTAAATTTTCTACGAAAAATGTCTGAACACATTTTCCGCTAAACTCAGTCGTTTTCGAGATATTTGCAAAAAAAATTGATTCATTTTGGTTTTTTTTGTAGTGTTGATATAATGAAGAAGAAACTGGACAACGAATCCTTAGGGATAATTCTCTTGGCTTCATTTATGGACGAATTCTTCCCGGAGGAACCCCGAACGTGTCCAGACACCTTCACCCTGTATCATTACAATGGTTTACCTCGTTCAAACCCAGATAATCGTGTGCGTTATCACACTGGTGATGCTGTGCTGCTGGAGTGCACAGTAAAGTGCATTTTGGACAGCAACCCCATGCTCACAGTTCTACAGACCAAGTGGCCAAGCATCGAGGTGCAGTGGGACATTGGCAGAACACCAAGTCTGAATTGATCGGTCTATTAATTCAGGAAATTTTATCGTTCGTTTATGACTGATTATTCACATTTTTTTACATGTCTTGATGAATGTAGGATTATCTGCGTGATGAGTGGGTTTAGGAGGAACTTTCATAAGACATCTTTCGTTGGAAATTTAATTTTCTACAAAAAATGTTTTATCACATTTTCTTCTGAACCCAGTCGTTTTTGAGATATCCGCAGAAATAAACATTGCGAAATTCATAAATTCACTTGATCAAACAAAAAATCAAATTCTTATTAAAAAATTATTTTCTTTGTTTATTTAGTGAAGAATATTTTCTAAAAACTATAGAAGAAATATTCTTGTCAATGAAAAGGCAATAAATTACGGATAATTCAATATTTAGGGGGGATAACAGTGGGTAAACAATTTTACTCCATGATTAATTAATAAAAATGACACATTGGACAACTTTCTTTTGCTAAGAACGATGAAATAATGAATGAAAAATAATAATGAACTGTGAATATCGTCGAATGCTTAATTGCATAGATTTATTAAATTAATAAATTAATAAATACATGATAATTATACATATAGTACATAAAGAATAGAAAAAATAGGAAAGGGAGCCTTCGTAATTGATAATTATCGTTAAGTAAATGATTAATTATTCACTGAGTTATTTAAATAAATGAGACATGCTATTTCATGTTTTCAACCAGTGTCCAATCGTAGATTTCAATATTTTTATTCTCCTCGGAGTTTATTTATTCAATTCTCGTGTACATTACCTTTATTTTCATATTATTCGAGGTATTGATTAATTAATTAACTTTTTGGTTTCATTATTTGAACATTTAGTGCTTAATTCAGTAGTTAGAGGGTTTATTGCACATTCAGATACTGAAAAGTGAGAATTCTCTCGCATTTTGTTAATTGTTTTTGGAATTGTCATGATGAGAAAATTATTAAATTAGTTTAATATTACTGAAGATGCGTTTTGTTGGATTATTCACCTTGGAATGAGGGGTCTCACTTTTTTTGTTGAGTAAAAAGAATATCTGGACATTCAAAACACATTTCTGTTGATTTTTCAATTTTTCAAAGTGAAAACTCAATTTAAAAATTGTAAAATGGATTAAATTCGATGAAAAATCGACATTTCCTTTTCATTTCGTTGTTTAAAGGACCAATTCATATTTTCGAAATGGAAATAAAAGAAGTAAACCAAAATTATTGACTCAAGAAAATTTTTGACATTCTAAGGAAAAATAATGTCTTCTTTTTTCACTCAACAATGGAATTAATCTCTTAAAATATTACTGAGCTATTAAACAACATATGCAACAATCGTATACATATTACCTACAGAAAGACTCTGGTAACATCCGGCAAAAGCTCTCTGTCATTCACCTAAAACTTTAACAATCAATAATACCTAAATTTCAAATTGTCTAAAGACCTCACAATCCCCGAGAACTCATTAAATTATTGGCTACAACTCGCGTCAGTGGGAATGTTTCATTTTCGTAACAGGTGCCATTCCAGTCGTCAGTGTTTAAGGAAAGGATCATAGCACCCCTGAATCCATTCGATTTTATCCACTCCACCTGAAATGACAAGTTTGAAACAACTTCAGAATGAAATTCCCCCCCAAATTCATCACGACTCATCATTCGGAGAATTATATCAGAAGAGTAAAATGACATCACCTTCTCCATGACGCTGACTTGGTCATCGAAGCTGACCCATTCCTGTCCCCCATAGACATAAGGAGTCCTGCTGTCCTCATCAAAGACCTTAGAGCCCCCCTTCCGGATGAATTCGCAGACCTCCCAATATCTGACGAACCCCAGTTCCCCCAGGTGTCCGAACCCCTTGGCAGGTGCCATGATCCCATGGTTATTCTCGTTATCCAGCAGAAACGAGTGCCCATACGTGGGAATGCCCACCACGATCTTCTCCCTGGGCATCCCCTTGGAAACCCAGTAGAAAGCCGAGTAATTAACGTTCAGGGTCGCGGAGTAGCCTCCATCCAGGGGATTAGAGTACAGAGGGGCGTTCAGTCCAGTCACCGGAAGGTACCATACGTAGTAATGGTAATCATAAGACATCAGGTTTACGAAGTCCACGTGTTCTGCAATCTGAGGGACGTTGTAGCTCTCGTCGATTATTGCTGATGGGGCACCGACCGCTGCTGAGAGGATCAATTGTCTTCCACCTGTTCCAAGATGATTATTGATGAGGAATTTGGGCGGATCAATTAATGACATTGCTTCAGTGAGATTTGCCTCGGATTCTATTCATGTAACAGTTCAGCCAAAAATAAGAAATGAGATAACTTTTTTTTCATTTCGTTAGCACAGTGGATAGCCATGTGTGTAAACGGCTCAGAATTGAAACTTAAGGGTCGTGAGTTCAAACCTGATCTCCGGCGGTTTTTCGCATTTTCTCAAATTGATATTACATACATTTCTCTGAAAAATGAGAAATAAAATAACGTTTTTTCATGTTGTCTGTCCAGTGAATAGCCATGTGTGTAAAGGTTGAGAATGGAAACCCAAGGGTCGTGAGTTCAAACCTGACCTCCGGCGGTTTTTCGCATTTTCTCAAATTGATATTACATACATTTCTCCTAAAAATGAGAAATAAAATAACGTTTTTTCATTTTGTCTGTCCAGTGGATAGCCATGTGTGGAAAGGCTCAGAATAGAAACTTAAGGGTCGTGAGTTTAAACCTGATCTCCGCCATTTTTTCGCATTCTCTCAAATTGATATTACATACATTTCTCCTAAAAATGAGAAATAAAATAAGTTTTTTCATTTAGTCAGTCCAATGGATAGCCATGGGTGTAAAAACTCAAAATGGAAACCTGAGGGTCGTGATATTACATACAAATTGATATTACATACATTTCTCTTAAAAATGAGAAATAAAATAACGTTTTTTCATGTTGTCTGTCCAGTGGATAGCCATGTGTGTAAAGGTTGAGAATGGAAACTTAAGGGTCGTGAGTTCAAACCTGATCTCCGGCGGTTTTTCGCATTTTCTCAAATTGATATTACATACATTTCTCTGAAAAATGAGAAATAAAATAACGTTTTTTCATGTTGTCTGTCCAGTGGATAGCCATGTGTGTAAAGGTTGAGAATGGAAACTTAAGGGTCGTGAGTTCAAACCTGACCTCCGGCGGTTTTTCGCATTTTCTCAAATTGATATTACATACATTTCTCTGAAAAATGAGAAATAAAATAACGTTTTTTCATGTTGTCTGTCCAGTGAATAGCCATGTGTGTAAAGGTTGAGAATGGAAACCCAAGGGTCGTGAGTTCAAACCTGACCTCCGGCGGTTTTTCGCATTTTCTCAAATTGATATTACATACATTTCTCCTAAAAATGAGAAATAAAATAACGTTTTTTCATTTTGTCTGTCCAGTGGATAGCCATGTGTGGAAAGGCTCAGAATAGAAACTTAAGGGTCGTGAGTTTAAACCTGATCTCCGCCATTTTTTCGCATTCTCTCAAATTGATATTACATACATTTCTCCTAAAAATGAGAAATAAAATAAGTTTTTTCATTTAGTCAGTCCAATGGATAGCCATGGGTGTAAAAACTCAAAATGGAAACCTGAGGGTCGTGATATTACATACAAATTGATATTACATACATTTCTCTTAAAAATGAGAAATAAAATAACGTTTTTTCATGTTGTCTGTCCAGTGGATAGCCATGTGTGTAAAGGTTGAGAATGGAAACTTAAGGGTCGTGAGTTCAAACCTGATCTCCGGCGGTTTTTCGCATTTTCTCAAATTGATATTACATACATTTCTCCTAAAAATGAGAAATAAAATAACGTTTTTTCATTTTGTCTGTCCAGTGGATAGCCATGTGTGGAAAGGCTCAGAATAGAAACTTAAGGGTCGTGAGTTCAAACCTGATCTCCGGCATTTTTTCGCATTTTCTCAAATTGATATTACATACATTTCTCCTAAAAATGAGAAATAAAATAACGTTTTTTCATGTTGTCTGTCCAGTGAATAGCCATGTGTGTAAAGGTTGATAATGGAAACCTAAGGGTCGTGAGTTCAAACCTGATCTCCGGCATTTTTTCGCATTTTCTCAAATTGATATTACACACATTTCTCCTAAATATAAGAAATAAAATGACGTTTTTTTTATTTTGTCAGTCCAGTGAATAGCCATGTGTGTAAAAGCTCAGGATGAAAACCTGAAAATGTTCAAATCCAGCGGTTTTTGGCATTTTTCTCGGATTGAATTCATGTGACATTTTAACCAAAGATAAGAAAGGAAATAACGTTTATCTTTCACAGCTCGTCGTTTTCCAACAAAAAGATTTTAACAATTGTGGCTTGATATTTTTATTTTTTCACAAACCTATGCAACACAGCAATAAATGTTCCTTCTGGAAATAAAACAAAACAATTAAAAACCAATGAACGTCAACAAATCACTTACTTCTGTCAAAAGCTCTCCTCATCTCTTGTAAAAGCTGCACGAAGTAAATTCTCTCTCGTTCCTTGCCCCCCAGCCACGCCGGGAACTCCCAGTCGACATCCAGACCATCTAAATTGAACATTTTCGTGATGTTTAGGACTGAATTGATGAAAACTTTTCGACTCGCGTGGGTCTTCACCATCTCCGGAAAACCAGAGTCTATCTCGTTGATACCCCCAGCTGATATCATCGTCTTCAACTTTGGAAATTTCTTCTTCAGGGCGGAAACATCGGTGTAGATGCTGGGGAAGGGACCTGGGAATAATTTGCTATTCACCACGCTCGCAAAACCCACGATAATATGCGTACAAATACGAGGGTCAAGGTCCGACGGACCGAGATCTCCCGACGTGTTCAGGAATCTCGGTAATGTGTAGTAGCAGACGACGAGCGGGTCAGAGGGGCTGTGGGGTGAGGGCGGGACTGAGTCAAGGGTTGAGTTCCTGGGAAAAAGATCATTATTTCAGATTTTTTTTGAAGCAAAGACAATTTTTCATCAAATCATTTTCTTCCCTGTTAGATTTTGTTGAATATCTTGAGAAAGAGGAGATTTTGGAAAAAAAATCATGGAACGTTTTTTGTGCAGAATGCAATTTCCAACGAAAAAAGTTTTATGAAATTTTTTTCTAAACCCACGCATTACCGAGATAATGAAAAAAATCAAGATCATCCACGTCGAATTCAAGTAGAAATCGTCTCTTATAATTCTGCAAATATCTTCTTAACGAGTGGGTTTAGAAAAAAATGTCATAAGCCACTATTATAGGGAATTGAATTCCCTACAAAAAGTATTTTATGACATTTTTCACTAAGCCCACTCATTATTGAGATAATCGACGTTTTAATTTTAAAAAAATCGAAATACGTAAAATTTCTACCTGTCAACATTTTGGTTTTCCTTCGCCGATTCGGCGTACATCCTAGCCCTGCGTGGCCACGCAAAAGTCTCGGCATTCTCAATCCTCAATCTCTCCCTAATTTCCCCCTGTTCACCTCTGCCTAAAACCCCCTGGACGTCGATCCAAACCCCAGCAATGATGAATAAAAACCCGATAATCAGGAGTGGCAGAGTCAGACACACGATCCTGCTGCACCTCGAGTGCTTTCTGGAACATTTATCCACATCTATCTTTCATCATCTCCTCTAATTATAGATTATAATCAATACAATCTGCTGAAGGTCAGTAGAGCCTCAGGAGATACGAGAACATTACTTTCCCTCTAGAATAATTTTATCTTTGCAAAGACAATAAAATTTATCTCTCTTATCACTACTTCATGAACTGCAATGATTAATCTGTTAATTATGTTAATTATTTATTATTATTATTATTCAAATATGAAATTACTTACGGAATGACAGTATTCAATAACTCGTATTTCGCTTGGGGTATTGGTATTTGGTTAACCATTGATTATTCATTTAAAATAAATGAAACCCCTAGAATTTTTGGGATCAATTGAATTGATGGGATTTAATTATCGATAATGACACTTTGTTGTTTTTCTGGGGGGCGTGGAGATGTGATTGCAGGGGTCAATAATGAGCGATCAAAACACTGGAGTCATGACGCTCATGACGTGTGACATCTTGAAGGTTGGATTAGAGTGGGTATGGGGTGGGGGTACGAAAATTCCCACGCTAATAAAGAAATCGAAATGGTACATTTCCAAACTTTCACGTACGTCCGAAATGATTGAGATATAATTAAAGAGAGGTGGAAATATATCATTGAAATTTCCTATTGAAAAGGGTATTTTATTCAACAGAATTGTCTATTGAATTTTTTAATATATTAAAAATGGACTGGAGGGCCTTCCAAAAGACCTGAACTGACCTGAACTGAATGCAATTGGATTTAGAACGCTAACTCCTGTAGTTTTCTAAAAATGGTTTTAAAAAAAGTTTTGTTCTATACAGTGTTGTATAGTTGATTTGAAGAGTCAAATGAAATTTATTAATCGAGTTCAGTCTTTCTGGCCCTTGCGGAGTCCATACATTTATTTCAGGGGCCATTTTGCCCCAATGTCTAAAGGCGCGAAGAAAAAAATCACAGTTCAAGATATATTTTATTGATACAAGCACCAGGTTCCACTTTCATTGTACTTAAATAATACTGACAATATTCAAGCAATAAATAATGGGAATTCCCCAATGCGCACCACAGGTATTCAACATTTATAAATTTATGATTATTGAGATGATATTCACTGAGATTGTCCAGTGAGAAGAACCTCGTCCTCGGGACGAGGCAGTCTCCTGTACCTCTCTTGGGACACCAGGTACAGGACGAGACCCGCGAAAATGATGAAGGAGAGTCCAATGACATTTATAAAGATTCCCTCGGACGTGAAGTCCGAATATTTGTCTGATCTGAAAAAAAAGGATTCATCATCACAATTCTTCGACTTCTTCTTTGAAAAGTCGTTTTACATGATTTTATCATCTACTTTGAAAATTACCCCAGAGCAAAAATCGCCTTCTCGTTCAGGCCAATAAGGCAGGATGCAATGACCCCGACGAATCCAGCAGTTCCGAAGTACGCGTGGATGGGCAAATATGCAGCACGAAGTGGTGCTTGGATTCCAGGGTAGAGAAAAGAGACTAGACCAGCGAGCCACTAGAAAAATAAAAAAATAATTAAGAGGCCTCGACGGAGAAAAAGTACTGAAAAGTGGGAAAACCATGGCAGCATGAATGCTCGGCCAAAAGGAGATGAAAAAAACTGAATCTGTAAAATAAACAAATTTTTAAAGCTATCATTCAGATTTTTCCATCCCCTTTTGGCTAAGAATTTACGACTCAAGGTTCCCAAAGGCCTCCTCTTGGAACAAAGAATAAATGAGGGGAAATATTGTGTGCGATCTTTCAATTCATTCGTCACCTGACAACCGAACAGAATGACACTAGTGAGCCCCACCCAGCTGTGCAATGTGTACAGATTCGGTATTGGAGGTTTTGAATAGTTGTGCATGTCGAAGACAGCAACAAGAGCAATTATCGTCAAAAATAATGTGAAGACCATCATTCCCCCGTGTAAGAGCTTCAGCCGACGTTTTCGGACGTTCCTCTGGATTCTGTAGATCAACATTCCTGAAAAAAAAAATTGAATTGCAGGGGACGGAAGAGAGCTTGCATATGGAGCTTAGTTGTCCCCAGTTTCCTTATAGACCTTTTCATTCTGAGAGTCAGTAGATTTTCGGACACTTTTACCGGATTTACATATCAATCATCATTTTTGAGGGTTCGAATGGATATCATCTTAAATGTCAATGTTCATCAGCATTTCTCATTATTTTTCTGAAGACTTCAGTTTGATGAACGGAATGATATTTCTTTATTAATGTTATTATATAAATCTCTCTATATTATAAAAATTCAAATTGACTTCTAGTCATAAAAATTTGGTATTCGAAATTAAGACTGCGAAATTAAAGGACATGTGGGTCAAAAACTGGGTCACCAGAGTCAAAATAAGGGTCACGAGGGTTATAATGAGGGTCAGATTACGGAGGAGGGTCACAAGGGTCAAAATAAAGGTCTCAATATCTTTCCATATGGTAAAAATCCAAATTGACTTTTAGTGATAAAAATTTGGTGCTCGAAATTAAGACTCCACAATTAAGGGCCAAAATAAGGGTCACGAGGGTCAGAATTGTAATGTGTGAGGAGTTTAGACGTAAGAAAACGAAACGGGCCTTAACTTTAGATAGCGGATATGACGTATACTGTTTGGGGAAAAACCCTTCCTGTATAGACTTTTGTAATTGATAGCACGTCATTTTAGAGAGTAAAAATAAATCTACTCTAATCATATTAATAATCAACATATCACGACTAATAATCAGTCTCATCGCCCTCGCTCCTTTGTTACAAGAATAAGCGTAGCTTCCTAGTAAATAAATAATAAATATATGAAAAATTCATGCGAATTCCCAGAAATTCATTGAGTTGACATAAGTAAATCAAGATAATTGACTAATTAATGAGCTGTTGGATTCTACCATTAGCATAAAGGAAGACGAGGCCAACAGTCATCAAGAACGGATGCCAATTGAACTGCAGTTTAACATCAGAGGACCAGGCGAATCCCCCACGAAAGTGAGTGATCCAAACGAATACGAGAACAATCAGAGCTCCACCAATTGCTTCCGTCACCGAGAAGAGGAATCTGAAGCCCTCGAGACGTTGGGGAGGCGTTGGCTCACCTATCTGATCCATATTTTCAGAATCTGAAAGCAAAATAATTCAATTAATTTCCAATTATTCATCTCGGAATTTATTGGTCAGTTTTCAATGAATATCTCGGAATCTGAGGCAGATAGTAAAATTTTTGTTGAAATCTTTTTTATAAAGCGGATCGAGATCTACAAAAAAGGTTGACACGAAAATTTTGGTATCTCCTTTAGATTCGAGGATTTTCTTTAAAAACTCAGCTAAGAGGTAAGTCGGCAGAAATTTTTGGGCTCAAGTTTTCCAAGTTTTTTCCGCTGAATTTTTATTCACTTCTCATGATAAAATTCAAGGAAAAGAAGTTTAAAAATTCGTATTTATAAATTACCTCACGAATAATTCCGAGTGAAAACACGCAAGTGAAGATGACAATTTTTAATAGAATTGACACAAAAAGTACATCAAATTTTCCAATTGAATTCTAATAAAATTAAGGATAATCGCGCGGGGAGGAAATGTAGGAGGTGAGGCGGAGGGGTTTCTATTGTTTTCCTGCAGAAAACCAATCGCTGAACAAAAAAATTTTTCCCATTCGGATTCAAAATTCAGGCAATATTAAGGAGTATCTCCGGTTAAAAAATATTTTTGTAGCTAATCAAATTTATTTGTATCTGTTCCACGCATTAAATGGTTTTCAAATTGTATTTTTTTTAATAAATGAAAAAATATTAATCCATGCGAAAGAGTGGCAACATCGTCGGTATTTTTTTTTTCACCAGGAGCTGGTACCACTGGCTCGAGGGAGCTCCAATCACA